CCTGCTGAAGAAGGTCCTGATCAAGCATGCGAAAGAGGTGGTGTCGGATCTCATTGACTCCTTCATGAAGAACCTCCACAATGTCACAGGGACCCTGATGACCGATACAGACTTTGTCTCAGCTGTGAAAAGAAGCCTCTTCTCCCATGGAAGCCAAAAGGCCACAGATATCATGGATGCCATGCTGGGTAAGCTGTATACCGTGATGTTCAAGAAATGCCCCGAGACGATGAGGAAAACCAAAGATAAGGCTGAGAGTTATTCCCTCATCTCCATGAAAGGAATGGGTGACCCTAAACACCGAAATGTGAACTTTGCAATGAAATCCGAAGCTAAATTAAAAGAGAAAGTGTACTCTCCGCACAAACCGGAGAAGACTTGTGCTGAGACTCTGGGTGAGCACATTATCAAAGAGGGATTGACCATGTGGCATAAAAACCAACAGAAAGAATGTAAATCTCCAGGTTTCCAGCGGGCAGCATTTGAAATGCCCGACCAACAGTGCAAGTCTCCCCCAGACATCCCCTGTGCATGTCCTGAGGATATCAGCAACTTCGGCCCCCTGCTGTGTCACCCAGAGAACGCTGACAGTATTATGTATGACTCAGATTCCTGGGCCAAGGACCTGATTGTGTCTGCCCTGCTCCTGATTCAGTACCACCTGGCCCAGGGAGGAAGAATGGATGCACAGAGCTTCCTGGAAGCTGCTGGAAGCACTAACTTTCCCAGCAAGAAGTCTCCTGTAGTTCCTGATGAGTCCAGCCTCAAGTCTCCTCATTTAGTAGGTGACCGAGAACAAGCAGAAAAGAAGGATCTAATGAGTGTTTTCTTCAATTTTATCCGGAACTTACTTGGTGAGACCATTTTCAAAAACGACCGTAGCTGTGAACCCAAGGTGCCAGAACATCCAGTTAAAGAAGAAATCAGCAACCCGTGTGAAAGACCTGCAACCCCTTGTCCCACCAGAAACTGTGAAGGTGATGAGGCTGGTGGTACCTTTTCTGGGCTGACTAAGATGGTGGCCAACCAACTAGATGGCCACATGAATGGACAGATGGTAGACCACCTGGTGGACTCGGTGATGAAGTTATGTCTCATTATTGCTAAGTCCTGTGACTCTCCCCTGGCAGAGCTGGGAGATGATAAATGTGGGGATGCCAGCAGGCCAACTTCAGCCTTCCCAGAAAATTTGTATGAGTGCTTACCAGCCAAGGCCACAGGGACGGCAGAAGCCCTACTGCAGAACGCCTACCAAGCTATCCACAATGAGTTGAGAGGTGTTTCAGGACAGCCTCCTGAAGGGTGCGCAGTGCCGAAAGTGATCGTCAGCAACCACAGCCTAGGTGACACGGTGCAGAACAAGCAACTCCAAGCTGTCCTCCAGTGGGTGGCTGCCTCTGAGCTCAATGTCCCCATTTTGTACTTCGCTGGTGATGATGAAGGGATCCAGGAGAAGGTAAGAAAGAAAAGCAAGACTAATTGGGAAAGTCTTCCCAAGGATTACTTTAGGTCTTAATTTCTGCTTTCTTTCTGAATGGGAAGGCAGTCACAGGAAAGGTAGAATGGAAAGAGTAACAGTTGGAAGACATGCTTCGTCACAGAGATAATGGGTCAAGTAAAATTAGATGCTATCCGATAAGAGGGATATCAAAGGGGAAAAAGGGGGATACATCACATCTTTGTCTGTTTTCTGCACTTACTAGTGAGAGTTTGCAAAGAGGAACTGCCAAGAAATTTGGTGAAGGAATCAGGTTGAGATCTGGGCTCCAGGCTGAGTTTAGGTGGGACAGCATTGCCCAGAGGAGGAGCTGCTGGGAAGTATCTCTGGGATGTCCTGGGGAAGGGGGCAAAGGATCTGGATTCATGACCTTTTGAACTCTGTTCTTCCTGTCTCAGTTGGTTGTCCTAGAGGTGTTAGGAATTTGAAGGAATTCCGTGACTCATACCTTTCTTCCTCCGGCATTCTCAATCAATTAAGAAGGGTAAGAGGGGCCAGCAGGTGGCGTGGCGGTTAAGGGTGCTGGACTCGCACATGGCTGACCACGGTTTAAGTCCTGGACCTGGCAGCTTGTTCTCTATCTCTCTGTTTGTCTGTCTCTGGTCAACATAGAAAAATAATGATAACAAATATTTTTTTTAAAAGAAGTAAGGAAAAAGACAGATGGGAACAATTGAGCACTGCTATTACTCACAAAGGTAATAAAGGCCTTCAAAGCCCTGTCCTTCTACCACAGGGTCCTAGTGAACCTTGGAAGTGCTCACTGAAATGGAAGTTTGAGAATGGAGAATATGCATGTTTATCCAAGTTACTGCTTCATAATAAAGTAGGAAGACTAAAAAAAAATAATAATAAATAAAAGAGGCCATCCCCACAATGCTCTTTGACCTCCTCTCTCTCAGCTTTAATGATCTCCTCTCAACTGAGGAAAGCACAGCTTGACATTAACCAAAATTCTTCCCTGTTTTCTTCTAGTACTTTTTAGACTTTGACCCATCTCGAATTTGTTTTTACGTAAGGTATGAAGTTTTTGGTTTTTTGTCTCTTAGGACCTGGTTTATTTTTATAGTGTTATTTATTCCAGGTTGGTGCTTCAAATTTAGAAGTCTGAATTTTTTTTAATTGTTAAAAATTTACTTGTAATCACAGTCCATCTTTATAGTGTACAACATGGTTTTTCCCAGCATGAATATGGTACATATTGGCCAAGTCAAAGATGTTACCGTATATACCGAATGTCTGCACTCTATAGCAGAAAGTGAAAGATTAGAAGGTATAAGAGCAGAGAGGCCAACTGTAGATACTAGAGACAGTATAGAAGGGGGTAGGATATAGGTTTGCATTTCTCTTATGTAGGTAATGAGGAATGAAATCACTGCCTCTTCATAAGTGTAATTTATTTTTAAAGTAATTTTATTATCATTATTATTATTATTATTATTTGGAGAGGTTTTTGCTATAGGGCACGTGTGCTCTCCAGAAAGACAGAGACAGAGAGAGAGACAGAAAGTAAAAAATCACCCCCCAGGGGGGATGGCCATGCCTCAATCCCTTCTCCTCCTTTCTCCTCTTGAGATCTTGGGCACCCACGCACATGGGCCCAGTGTGAATTTAAGCCACCGGATCTGGAACTCGAACCGCAGTCGACTACATGGTAGTCCAGTGACATAGCCATTATGCCAACTGCTGGTTATTATTATATATATATTTTTTAACTTGACCAGAGAGAGAGAGAGAGAAAATGAGAAAGCAAGCCACCAGGTCCAGGACTCGAACCATGGTTGGCCATGTGGGAATCTAGTGCCTCAATCACCGTGCCACCTGCTGGCTCTGATAAGTTTAATTTCTTCAGAAATTGCCAAACTGTTTTCCAAAGTGACTGTACCATTTTACATTCTCACCAGCAATTTATGTGGATGTCAGTTTCTCCACATCCTCATCAATGTTACTCTTTCACTTACTGCAGTCATTGTAGTGGTATCTCATGGTGGATTTAATCTGGCATACATACATTGAAATGACTAAGGACTCTGGACATTTTTTTGGACCCATTATCCATTCATTTACATTCTTTGGTGAGACATCTGTGCAGATCTATCGACCATGTTTTGATTAGTTTATTTGTTCTATTTAGAATTACAGACTTCTTTCCATCTTCTGGATTAAAGTCCTTTACCAGATGTATGATTTGCAACTGTATATATTTTTTCTCAGTCTGTGACTTGTTTCTTGATGAAACCTTTTGAAGAGTAAAAGCTTTTTTTTTTTTTTTTTTTTTTAGAAAGAGAGAGATTTTTGCTATAGGCGGTGTCCATCTGCTGGAGAGACAGAGAAACAGAAAGCAAGAAATCACCCCCCATGGGGTGATGACCACACTGCAATCCCTTCTCCTTTTGTGATTTCTTGGGCACACATACACGCGCATACCTGGCATGAGTTTTAAGCCACCAGGTCTGGGACTTGAAGTGCAACCGACCATGTGGGAGTCCAGCGACATAACCATTCTGCTATCCGCTGGTCCTGGAGAGTAAAAGTTTTCAATGATGAAGTCTAATTGATCATTTTTTGCTTTTATTTTGTGTTTGTTATCATAGCTAATGAGTTTTTGACTAGTGGTTTTCTACTGGGGGCAATTTTGCCTCCCAGGGGACATTTGTCCATATCTGGAGACATATTTGACTATCATAACAGGAGAGGAGAGTGTTACTGGAGTGGAGTGGGTAGAAACCAAAGATACTTACAAATGTCCTACAATTCACGTGATAACTCACAAGAAAGAATTATCTGACCTATTAGGTCAAGAGTGCTTAGAGGTAGAAACCCTAAAGTATCCCAAAGTCATGAAAATGGTTTTCCTCTTAAGTGTTTTGTAAGTTTAGCTCTTAGATTTAGTTCTATCTACATTGCATTGATTTTGTGTATGATGTGAGGCACGGATTCATATTTATTCTTTGCCTGTAGATATGCAGATGTCTCAGCACCATTTGTTAAAAACACCATTGAGGCCCGGACAGTGGCACAGCAATAAAACATGATACTCTGAGAGGCAATCTCACATGGGAAGGTTCCCAGTTCAAGTCCAGAGACTTTCCTGAATATGCCCAGGACTGACTCTCTCTCTCTCTTCCTTTCTTATGGAATAAAAAATGTTTTAAGTTAAAAAAAAATGAAAAGGACTATGGGCATCTGTCCCCACTGAATTATCCATGCCATTAGGTCAAGAGTGCTGAGAGGTAGAAATCCTAAATTATCCCAAAGTCATGAGAATTGTTTTCCTCTTAAGTGTTTTGTAAGTTTAGCTCTTAGATTTAGTTCTATCTACATTGCATTGATTTTGTGTATGATGTGAGGCACGGATTCATATTTATTCTTTGCCTGTAGATATGCAGATGTCTCAGCACCATTTGTTAAAAACACCATTGAGGCCCGGACAGTGGCACAGCAATAAAACATGATACTCTGAGAGGCAATCTCACATGGGAAGGTTCCCAGTTCAAGTCCAGAGACTTTCCTGAATATGCCCAGGGCTCCCTGAAGGCTGGGGTGGAAGATAGCATAAAGACCCTATGAGGGTTCTGACTCTCTCTCTCTTCCTTTCTTATGAAATAAAAAATGTTTTAAGTTAAAAAAAAATAAAAAGGACTAATGGGCATCTGTCCCCACTGAATTATCCATGCTCTTTACAAAATTATCTGGCCCAAAAAGTCAGTTGTCTGAAAGTATTAGACAAAAAGTTTTATTTTGTATTTGCATGGTATATCTTTTCTATAATTTCATGTTTAATCTATTTATATTGTTATATTTGAACTTTTTTTATAGGTAATATGTAGTTGAGTCATGTTTATGTCCATTCTGATAGTGTGCTTAGACTACATTTAGCTTAATATGCTGATACTTTGGGATTTAAGTCTACTATTTCATTATTTGTTTTTCTTTCCTGTTTTTCCTACTGTTTTCCCTTTGCTGCCTTCTTTTAGATTATAATGAACATAAGTAGCATTCCATTATAACTTATCAATTGTATTTTAACTATATTTCTTTTTTTAAAAAAAGGAATTATTTAATTTCATTCATTCATTCATTCATTCATTCATTTATTTTCACTTGACCAGAAAAAGACACATAAAGAGAAAGAAAGTGAGAAAGCAAGCCACCAGGTCCAGGACTCAGACCGTGGTTGGCCATGTGGGAGTCCCCAGTGCCTTAACCACCAGGCCACCTGCCGCCCCCCCATCTATATTTCTTTTTGTAGTTTAGTTTAAAAAAAAATTGTGTGTTTTCCCTAGGCATTGCAATATACTTAACTTTTCAGAGTCTGTGTAGAATCATGAGTTTACCAGTAGCCTAGTAGTAAAGGGACCCAGATTCCACATGGCCAGTCATGGTTCAAATTCTAGCCCCTCTGACTTAAAAACCACGCCAGGCATGAATGCGTGTATCCCTGCTCAAAAATCCCCAAAGGCGGGGGAAATGGACAACGGAGTCGCAGTGTGGCCAGGCCCTGCTGGGGAGCGCTCTCTCTCTTTCTATACGTACGCATGTTTCTCCATCTCTCTCTGTAGAGTGCACGTGCCCTCCGGCAATTTTAAAAGAAGTTTACCACTTAAACTAGAAATATCACTACCATAGAGACTCCTTTACCGTTCTCCTTTATATTCTAGTTGTCTACTTAATCTCCATATGAGGAGACTTCAAAAGTTCATGGAAAAGTAGAATTAAAGTATGAGTTTATTTTGGTGCAAAAGACTTTTGAAATCTGTGCATAGGTTTTTCATAATACACAGTTTCCTCGAACGTTTTGAAGATTCCCTCATACACTGGAAAAGCCCTCACACAATGCTACATTTGCTTTTAATGCTAAAATGTATTTGTAAAAACTGAAGAGATGGGCCAGCAGGTGGTGTGGTAGATAAGGGCGCTGGATTCTCACATGGCCAACCATGGTTCAAGTCCTGGAC